GCAGTGGGACTGTTCAGATATCCCATCAGTCTACAGAGCAGGTACAGCACAGGCAGTGGGACTGTTCAGATATCCCATCAGTCTACAGAGCAGGAACAGCAGGGCAATGGGCTGCATATCTGTCTATCAATCCATCCAGAGAGCTGGGACAGCAGAGATCACAGGAGTCCCCTCGTCCAGCAGTGCTTCCAGCTGAATCCTGCCCTGAGCTACACGGATCTGAGCAGGTCAGCAGCTCACAATCACACTGCAGCCTATAGAAGGATGCAAGTCTGAGTAGCTGCTGCATGAAGAGAGAGCTTGTGTCCCATGTTCTGGTGGGTTGTTTAGTCAACAGTGTGGGCCAGCATCTCAGTGTGTGTCATTTTGCGTGCGTGCCACTGTGCATGTGTATGTGCCACTGTGTGAATGGCAGTGTGAATGTGTCTGTGTGTGTGTGTGGCAGTGTGAATCTGTCGGTAAGTGTGTGCGGATATGTGGCAGGGTGCACTCTGTGTGCGTGTGTGGCTGTGTGTCTCTAGCACTGTGTGGGTGTTTGTGTGGTGTGGCTCTGTGTGTGTGCATGGCATGACATTTGTTATTTTTATTTTGAATTGCCTCTCCTTTTCTATTTGAAGGTCCCTCAGCACAGACAACAGTCTCTACTTGCAGACAGGACTGGGAAACAGAGATGGTCCAACAGTACTGACCCCCCAGCTCTGCTAATTAACCTTGGTCTGCATTAACACCCAACGAGGCCTAATTACCCTGCAGGGCTTTCAGGAGCCTGAGGCAGATCAGACCAAACACTTTATCCCAACACTGTGATTCCAATCCAGCAGCAATATGCCTCCCAGGGTTGTTGTCATTTTTACTGATTTTTCTGATGCATTAGAATTTGTCTCTTCAGAACAGACGAAAGTTTAAAAACGAGAGGAGACCATTCGTCCTGCCCAGAGGCGTTGGGTAATAAGTAGTTAAGGAGTCGGAACACTTGCATCAGGTCTCTCCCATAGTCTTCCCTGTTCAAGACCGAAGAGTTTCAGTTCCTTCAGCCTGTTAAGGCTGGGATTTACTTTATGTATTACTGGAGCAGATGGATAAGAACATCTGCCAAGCT